TGTTGTTTCTTTTCTAAATCCAATTCTACTAATAACTTTTCATTCTCTGATGAAACCGCTTTCGTTGTTTGAATTAATTCATCAAATTCTTCAATCTTTTTTCTCAATATTTCTCCTGCTTGTTTCTCTTTTTCAAGTTCTTTTAATACCACTTCTTTTCTTTCTTTTTCCTTATAATACATAGACTGAACTTCACGTGTTCGTTTCATAAGTTCTTCAACCATTTGAATCAATTCTTTATTTCTTTCAATTAATTCATCTTCATCGTCGTCTTCTTCTGTATCTGAAATTTCATCAGTAAAACTTTCTTCTTCAATATCTTCTTCAACCTCTTCTATATTACTTTCATACCCATAATCTTCACATGAATACAGATCACTTGGACTATGTTTAATAGAAAGTACTGCTGATGTCGTTCGAACAATCTCCCCTTTTTCATTTCTTTCCACCGTTGAACTCATCTTGATTTTAAGTTTATACCATTTTTAAAAAAAATCTTTTTTTTTTCTATTTTTATTTCACTGTTTTCTTTTCTTTATTTCTTTAGATTACTTATTTTATTTCTTCATATATTTAAAGAGCTCCTTTATTAAATCTTTGTTCATAATGCTTTATTTTGATTACTAAAATAATATAAAATATACACTATAATACAAAGAAAATATTGTGTTGAGAGAAGTTTATTTTTTGTACTATTGATTCATTATTATTGTGGCTATTCTATTTAATTATATTTAGACTTTATTTTTATTTTCTAAATTAGTGCTTTTATAAAATGATATGGATTTTTTTGATATTATTAATTAAACTACTAATAAAGTAGTTTAATTAGCATAACGTAATGGAAAATCAATTTCTAAATGAGAGAATAATAAGTAAGAACACATTTAAACCTTTTTATTTAAAACTATAAAAAGAAATTCAAAAAAAAATAAAATAAAGAATATTTCAGTAAATAAAACATTTTATAAAATTTGATTTACAATAATAAAAAAAAATTATCTTTATTAACTAACTTTTTAAATTAATGTGAAAGTTGTTTTAAATAAAAATGTTTTTTAGTCAGTTTGAACCAAATCCCAGTGGTGTAACATAATTTTTTGGACAGCATAAATTGCATTCTTTTTCACATCTGGTTGTTCAGAACTAGTTAATTGTAATAAATCTAATTTAATACCTAAGTCATTCATTATTTTTCTTCCAAGAGGATGATAACGAGCAACTTCTCCTAAATCAAAACAAGCAACAGAAACACAAACAGGATCAGCAGATTTATCATTAATAACGCCTTTTAATTTTCTTACTAAAGCCCAATTTTCAAGTTCAAAATGAGTAACATTTTCAGTCCAAAATTGTTCTGAACGATGCATTGGGCTCCATCTCATTCTTCCAGATTTTAATTCATCCATATAACATTCCATACTAGAAGTTTCAGTTACTTTTTTTTCTACTATTTCATTAATTTCTTGTAACATTTCAACAATATCACTATCAGAGAATGTACGACTTAATAACATAGGAATAATTAAATTAAATTCATGTTGTACTAATAAACGAACATACCAATCAACATTTAGAAGATTATGAATAATTAAGAGAACTATTCTAATTAATTTCTCTATTTTAATTTTTAATAACACATTTGCAAATATTTGAATAAAATTCTCAGGGAAATCATGTTCGACTAATTTTTCATCAAATGACTGTAACCAAACAATATGAAACAGACTATAAAGAAGTTCATTGTCTTGAGTAGCAACAATTTTATCATGAACTTCTAATAAGAAATTTAATGGAATTTCTTTACTAAATACTTTCCTATATGGTTGTTTATTTAATAAAATATATAAGGACCAATTAAATAAATGAAGTGGTTGATAAGTAGAACGGGTTGGATTAGCAATTGAATAAATTTCACGAATAACTTGAAAATAATCACCCATTATTGATACAAAATCATTAAAAGTACCACAATAAGTAGTAAGAATAGTAAAAACTTCAATACTAGCTTTAAGAATAGTAAGACTTTCTGTTTTCATTTGTCTAATTAAACGAGTACATAATTCAATAGTTAATTGAATATCAATTTCACTAATTAATGGAATTCTATTGATATCAGCATTAATAAAATCATCAAATAATAACGTTGTATTTTCAATAACACCAGGATGTTCTGATTGATTTAATAAAATATAGAAAATTTCTATTAATGATTTTAAATCTACTTCATTCATTATTCTTGCTCGTTCTTCTGGAGCTTGTCTAAGATATAAACTTAGTACTGTTCTTTTTTCATCTGATAAATTAGAATTATTGTTTATAGCATTGTTTAATGTATCCTCTTTGAAGATTTCATTATTTGGTGGAATAACTAATGCAGGTGAGACAAACATATTTACCTGTTTTCTTAGTTTTTTTTACTTCTTTTTTTTTTATTAATAACAATACATTATTCTTTTCATCTTTTTACTGCTTTTCTCAGGGTTTTTTCTCTGTGTTTTTGTTTTCACAAAACTAGTTTGCACTTCATTATTTACCAAATAACTTATCATTTTATTATATTTATACTATTACTCTTTTATTTATTTAATATTTTATCTTTTGATTTTTGTTTCATCACCTTCTTGTTTTTGTTTTTATACCTGAAAAAACTAAAAAAAAGAAATTCACAAAAATGAAATAGTAAATTGAATTGTTCATGTACATATTTATTTCTTCATTTGATTCTTCTTATTGTGAAGGTTGAAAAGATGAATTCCAAGAAGGAGATGTAGCGATATTAAAAGATGGTTCAGGTATTCCAAAATCAAGTGGATCAGAACTGCTTAATATGTAATCAATATTATTAGTATCAACTTCTTCTTTGTCATCAAATAGATCAACAGAAACGTGTTGTTCTTCTAAATAAAAATTTGTAGGATCAGTTCGATATTTTTCTAATGAACTTCTATAATAAAACAGTTTATCTTTAAACCAATTTTGAATATCAGCAATAATTTCTTCTTTAACAAATTTTGGAGGATTAGTATTAAAATATATATAAGAAGAATGATAAAAAATATAATCAATCAATGCATGAGCAAATAATAAAAATAGTGTTGCATTTTCTCTTTGTGATAATAATACACAACCACCAATTAAACTTTCAACTAAATCTCCTTTCTTTTTCTTTTCAAATGTTTTTGTATCTCCCAAATGTAAAAGGTCAAAAATTTCTCCTAAAGTTTGATTTTTAACTGTGTGGATTCTTAATCCACTATACATCTCAAAAGGTATTTGTTCATATTTTCTTAGAAATTTTAGTACTAAAGAAGATGCTCGTTCTTCAAGATATGAATCTCCATAAAATTCATTTTTTTCATATTCTTGATCTTGACTAGAGTACGCTTGATTTAATTGTAATAAATCATACAATGGATCTGCTTTCATTAAATTAAGAATTGATGATAATACATCAAATGCAGTATATTGTATTGCATTGTGTAATGTAGTTAGACTCATAAATTTCTAAAAAACAAGTTCTAAAAAGGAAAAATTTATGATGAGTCTTTTCCTTTTAATTTTTAAGATTTTTTAAATTAATAATCATTGAATCTAATATTTCAGATTTTGTTCATCATTCAGACTTCAATCTCACAAATTAATAAAAATAAATTTCAAAATAATAAAGACATTGTTTTTAGTGCCAGTTTTGATGAATAGTTCATTGCAATAATCTCAAGAGATGTTTTTTAGTGAGATGTGGTTCTGTATTAACATAAAAATAAAATCCTTTAAAATGTGGAAGTTGAAGTAATAAAGTTCCAACTCAATTTGGTTTAAATGGGCTTAAAAGATTTGTTCTTAGCACTGATACAAAAAGTGTACAATAAAAAATTACAGTACTTTGTCTTAATCTTTTAGTTTTAATGGAAAAGGGCTCTTAATTGATTCATTAAATGCGTACATTACTTAGTCAAATAGAAATAGTAAAAACATCAATAAATGATTGTTTTTGTATATTACCATTTAGAAGTTCTTATAAATTATTGCAAAATGATTTTGGAAATCTAATTGATGTCTCAGTGGTCTTAGTAAAGAAGGAACATAAAGTGCAAATAACTAATGAAATTTATAAATTATTACCATAACCAATTTAATTAATTCATTTCTGTTGAAAATTAGTTAAAATATCAAGGACTAACTTGTAGAATTGTTGTGTTTAATTTAATTAGTCATATAGTCAAACATTATGAATGTATTGTATTGACGAATTAGATAATGTAAGATATGTCCAATACATCAATTCATGAATTGAATAAGTTTATTGGTTATAAAACATTATATTATTGATAAGTACTTTCGTCTAATAGTTCTACCTAATTTATATACTGTTTGTTAATGTCTTAAATTATTCATGAGGATAAATGAGAGGTGGTGATAAAATAACAGTAAACACCAAAGTTGATATGCTTTAAGAAGAGAGGTTATAGGAGGAAATAGTAAATTAATTATTAGCTACTATATTTTAAGTGCGAAGAACAGAAAAATATTCAAATCTTTTAAGTGATGTGATGACAATTAATTTTGAATTTGTACTAATTAGTTTTAGTTATCTAAAAGTCGTTACAAAGTAACTTTCTAAACACAATGTTTTTACACCGACACAAGAGGAAACAAAATGATAAAACTCTTAATGTATGTAGGCTAACACTTCCAACTAATGTTATTATAAAAAAATAAGACACACCAATAGTACTAAAAGTTTTATTCTAAAAAATTTCTGATTTAGTAATCCTAAAACATTATAACGAGGGTTTAACACAATTCAATAGTTTAGTCAATTAAAATGAAGTTTTGGTCACAAAAACAGTATCTTTGAGAAGACAGTTTTATTAAAACTGAAATTGACAAAACAAAAAAATTACAAATTTGAATAATTTTTTTATTGAACTAATTAATGAAATTAGTCAGATTGAAAAAGGTGATATAATTTTATTTTTTAAATAATTACTTTAATTATTTGTTTTTTATGGTAAAGTATTATTGTGTTTTTAAAAGAGTTTTTATAATAAAATTTTAATTTTTAAAATACTAAATTAAAATTTCAATTTTATATGGATTTTTTTTTCTTTTTTATTATCATTGAGTCTCTCTAATAACTCAATAAAAGAATTATAAATATAATGTAAGATAATTTGTGATAGTTCAATTAAATAAAAACAAAGTCTCACTTTAAAAAGAAAGCATTTATTTTTGTTGTTTAAATACGAGGAAATAAGTTTGTTCAGTAAATAATAAATAAGAATACTAAATTCACAAAAAAATTAAATACAAAAAAATAATAAATCAATATAATGTATATACAAATTAAATGATATTATAAAAGTATTTTGAGAAATATGCTTAAAATATTTTAATTCAACAAATTATTGATTTATTTTCATATTTTTTTATTAAAAAGATCAAACTTAAAAAAGAATTAATTGAATGTCATTTAACTATAAAACACCAAATGGAACAATTTTTATTGAAAGGAATGTGGTTTGTTTTAAACCTAAAGAAGGGGACAAAAATGAAATAAAAATTCAAAGTAATATTTCTGCTTCAATATTAATTGGTGATTTTCCAATGTATGTAGTTGTTGGATGTGTTGACGGAAATGTTATTTCAATTGAATTTCCAAGTTGTTCTCAAACTGTTATTACTCGTAATCAATTGGCTAAAATAAAAAGCATATCAGCACTTCCTGATACTCATCGTTATTTAACTTTAACAGTTGATGATCAAGGATCAGTATTAATTTATGATCATTTATATAATAAAAAAGTTATTTATTCTCCACCATTACCATCTCAAATTATTTCTGTTGAGTATTTTTATCCATTATGTGTTATGTTATTTTCTTATGCAGATGGAAGAAGTTTTGTTTGGTCTCTTGATACTGGTTCATTACTCTCAACTCTTCAATACTCAGTTCCTCAAGATAGAATTAAATCAACTATAGTTTATCAAACAATTTAACTCCATTCATTTAGCACTTCATCTGTTTAATATTTTGACATCAAAGAAATTATTTCTCTAATACTAATAATTTATTTAATTATAAGACTTACAAAGATTTAGTAATTTAGATTCTTTATTAATTAGAATTCTGTTATTAATAAAGAAAAGAGTTTCAATTTTAATGGTTTTATTTTACATGGTTAATATTTCCTTCTATTTATTTTTTTAAACACAATATCTTCTCTGGTTAATATAAATTTCTAAATATCTATCGTATATCCTAATCAGTTATAAAAATACATAGAGCACCACCTATTACTTTCAAAAATACATAGAGAGACCACTAAAAAGTTAAAGCTCATTTAATAAAATATTGTTATTCATTAAAGGTATTAACTATTTTAAAGTTTTAATTATGGTGATACCTTTTCATTTTTGTTGAAAGAAAGAAAAAGAAGATTTTCTGGAAAATCTTATATCTTATCTTAAGACTAAAAGATTTTTTTCTCTTTGACACGTCTATTAAATAGTGTTATCAAATACTTCTTAAAATTAAAAAGATATTTATTAGTATTTACAGTAAACTTATAGTTAATTAATTATTTGTTTTTAATATATATCAGTAAGTTTCTCTAGAATATCTTATTGTTAAGAATTCATAATAACTATATCGATTTATTTTTTTGAAGATATTGTTATTTTCTTATTTTAAACTGAAAGAAGAAAGAATATTCATTTCAAATATACTTTTTTTATGTGATTAAGTGATATTAATTTTTATTACAAAATAATGAAATCTTTACAAAAACTAATAGTATTATTTTCACTGTGAATACTTAAAATAAATTTTAAGATTATCCTTTGCATTGTTTTTGTTGAGAATTACAAAAAAAATGTTGTACTAAAAAAAGAGACAATGCGTATTTAGATGTAGTGCTTAGTCAGTGTCTTGGTCTGCAAGTAATTCATTAACACGTGCAGATTTTTCATTGATTATTTCTTCGATTCTTTCCATTGAAACATTAGCATCAAATTCAGGATGATTAGGAGCATCTCCTACTATTTTGTACATTTCTTTACAAATATCTCCAAACTTAGGTCGTTCATCTGGTTTTTGTTTCCAACATTCATCAATAAGAGTTTTCAAGCAAGTAGGGATAGTGTTATCAAATGGAAGTCGTTTTCCACTCTTTACAAAATCTTTAATTTCAAACAAGGACTTACATTCTTTATATGGCTCAGTTGCATAAAATAATTCCCATGCCATAACAGCAAAAGAAAATACATCACCTTCAAAAGAATAAACATCATCGTATGCTTCAGGTGAAAGATATAATGGGGTACCAAGACCTTTATTTTCGTTATCACAAGAACTCTTCTTTTTAATAATTCTTGAAGTACCAAAGTCAGTAATTTTTACAACACAACTACTTGATTCGGCATATAAAGAATTAACTAATAAATTATCAGGTTTAAGGTCAAGATGTACAATTTTATTCTCATGTAAAAATACCATTCCTTTAGCACAATCAAGAAGCATTCTCATTTTCAATTTATAAGGTAATACAACATCTTCAGGTTTTTCATGACGAATGTAATCACCTAATGACCCTAATTGGAAATATTGAATAACCATTGAGATTTGTGGAATATAAGTAACTGATCCCATATAATTAGCAATATATGGATTACGTAATTTACTCATTAATTCACATTCATGAATAACATCTTTTTTTAGTGCATCTCTATCATCTGCTGATAAATTTTCCCATCTAAATTTTTTTACTGCTACAGTAATACTTTTATATTTACCTACATAAACCGTTCCTGATGCTCCTTCAGCAATTGGTTGTTCCCTAAGGTGTAGTTCATCCATATCTATATGAGTAGATGATGCAGCTGCAGTTTTAATTTCAAAACAATAACGGTACTTTCGAGGAACATCTTTCATTAATCGTTCAAGTTCTTCTTTGTCTTCATCAGTCCATACTTCAAATGTTTTGTCTTTTAACAGACTAGCAATTTTTAATAATGTTTTACTATGTTTGCTGAACCATACTGTATATGGTATTTTCATTCCCATAATTTTTGTAGTACAATGTAAAGTCATATATGAGGTGATTGTAGTTGATTGACGTGGTCTTAATATTGTTACTTGTGTGTCAAAATGGAAAACGTATTTTGGATTATTTGGGGTGTGAACAATAACCATCAGATACTTATTCTTTGAATAATTTTTTATTTCAATGTCTTCGTACCTAGTATCAAACACAGTTGTAGGAACGTTTACATTTCCATAATCAAGGGATAACGGATCAATAGAATAACGTGAAGATTTACTTGGTTCTGTCAGAACAGATCGTGTGATATCATAATGGTATGATGGTTGTTGTGTCTTAAAAACGTTTAAATCAATCTTATGCCCTTTTGTAAATCGGATTAATAAGAAAATCATTACAATAGAACAAATAAAAATAAATACAATCCCAAGAGCTATTAATAACCAAACCCACCATCCTATTGGTTTAGATCTACATGACCCAATATTAACAGTATCAATTTCATAGCCTTCAACGCATTGACAATAGTCATCACAATTCGTTCCACCATCACACTCTTCTCCTTCATTTAATATTAAATTACCACATGTCTTAATTCTACATTTATGATCACTTGTAACAACATAACCCTCAGCACATACACAATTAGGAAGACAATTACTTGTATTATAAATACATAGGACTGAATCGTCATTGAAATCTTTATTTTTACATACAGAACTAACACAATAATGATCTTCTAAAGTGGATTCTTTACATTTACAATCATAGTCACATCCTACACTTCCAAAATAACACATATCATCTCCATTAACTGTTGCATTTCCATTATAAAATTTACCATTATAATAACACAACTTTCTGCAATCATCTGCACCATATTGATCATTACATACACATACTCCACTTCTTACAGAACATTTGCCATTACCTTGTGACTCATAACACTGATTTGGACAAATAGTAGAAAATCTAACATCAATATCAATTGAATGATCAATAGTACCTAAAAAGAAATATCTTTTTTTACTACCTTCTCCATTAATTCTAACACGAAGACCTTGCTCTAAATAGGCACTTGTAGACCAAATACCCCACCAATCACCAACCCAAAAATCAACACATTTTTGAGTAGAATCAGTTTCAGTAGTATATTCCATAAGATAACAATATCTGTTTTGTGTTGTAGTGTCAATAAGAAGACTATAACTCCCTTCAAAATCAACAGTAAAGAATGATCCTTTCATTAACTTTGTTGGTGCACAAATAGGATTAATATATACACCAGATGAGGATATCATAAAAGTCTTTAATATTGATGAATTAGAAATATATAATTGAGAAATCTCTTGTTGAGTTAATTCAAGTTGATTACTAATATAATCATCAGTATACCCTAATGAAATAGTCACATCAAAAGTAGTTAAATCTTCAATAGAGACAAATGCATAATATTCTGTTTTAGATAATGGAACAATTAACTTTCCACCTCCTGGTTGAATTTCTTGTCGAGCATAACACTTTTTGTCAGTTGTTGTAGGTGAATCTGGTGTAAGGTCAAATGCAACAACAGGACCATCTGATGGGGTTATAAAGCTAAATATTCCATGAGAACCTGTACTCTTTATAGAAGATAAGTCAATTTTAATCCAATATGATCCTCTGTATTGGATTTGTTTATTTAAAGGAAAAGAACAAGGTCCAATAGAATATTGAGTTGATGTAGAAAATTGTAAAGTTATTGGTTGATTATTAGGTGTAATTGTTTGCATATCTGAAAAGTCTTTTCTTACTTGGTTTGTTTTGTCCGTACAAATTCCATTTTCTAAAACAACTAATCTATTTGTTGGTGTTATAGCCTGATATGGATTTACTGAAATACAAGTAGAACAACTATTATCTGTAGGGTCATATAAGTCTTTACATGACGAACACGTTTCACTAGCAATACATTTTAGACAACCTGTTCCACTACACGTTTGGCTTAGTACTAATAATGGAAATCCAATAAAAGAAATAAATATTATCTGAAACATATAACCGTTAACTAGTTATTAACAAGTTTTTTTCACTTTTTAGTTTTTTAATTCTGAGAAAGGAACCAAGTTACTTATGTTATTCTTTCTTTTGTTTCTTAAATTTAATTCCATCGACATTATTCTTGTCTACTAATCATTTAATTCTACTCCACTTCTATATTTCCTTTTTTTAGATAGTAATCACAAACCAATATAATACTATAATCTGAAGAGATTTGATTTGTAACAACAAATTTATTTTTTTATTTCAGTGATTTTTATTGACTCAATGAAAAACTTCTCACAGTTTCTTTCTTCTTGTCAGTTATCCAATAATTCCCTCATCTGAGGATGTCTTTATATATAACTATCACAAAAAAATAAATAAAACTCACAATCAGTATATCTATTTCTTTTTTGTAGTATCATAATTTGTATTAACATTGCCAGTACATACTTCTGATACTACAATATTCTATGTTATGCATATCGAAATTGTTTTAAACAACCTAAAAATTGTCATCACTTTTTACGTATCAATCTTTAGTTATTTTACTATTTCAATTTAATTATCATTTTAATATCACTCAATCAGAAATGAATTACCTAAAAACAAAAAGAATTGATGCTAACAAGAATTAATAACAAGAATTTTTATTTTGTTTTTATGTAATTTTTGTTAATTGAAAATGAAAAAGTTTTGTTGTTTATAATGTTAATGAATTCTCTACCACTTCATAGAGACTGTGTCATTTATTAATTAGATATTATTAAATTTATTTATTATTTAAGTCACTAAAGTTAAAATATTCATTTTTTATATTCAGAAAGTTTACATAAAAGATAAAATTTGCATTTATGATATATTTTAATTTAAAGAATATAAAAATATATCAAAACTCATATTTTATTTATAAAGACACCTTTTTTATAACAACAAAAACTTTTGATTAATGTTCACGAAAACGAGATAT